CGGGGCTGCCCATATGTCCATTCAATGAACCTGTGGGCCCGATCCCCTGGCGGTGGGGGAAAAGGCCAATAAGCAGGCCCTTGGGTCGTCGGAGTGTCTGATTGGGGCCGATTATTGTCAGGCCCTGGGGACCAATTGTCAGGCCCTTGGGACCAATTGTCAGGCCCTGGGGACAAATTGTCAGGCCCTTGGGACCAATTGTCAGGCCCGTGGGACCAATTGTCAGGTTCTTGGTGCCATTTGTCAGGTTCTTGGGACCATTGGTCATGCCCTTGAGGCCATTCGCCACTGTGCCATTCGTCATGCCCTTCGGACCAATTGTCTTGGGACCATGCACCTTGCGACCATGTACCAGTGCCACCATCACGGGGTACAAAGAAGCCTCCATGGTCAGTCGCCTGAGGTTTCGACAATGCTTGTCATCATCATCAAACTTTGCTTAGGGGCTAACATGTCACCCAAAGAGATGTGAGAGGCTGTTGAACTCTATTTCTGCCAAGTCTCAAAAGGCTGAGTTCTCCGCCATGGGTACTGGGCAGGATCTCCATAATGCTCCCAGCCCCACTGCTGACGATGATCCTGGTTGTAGTAAGAACCTGCTCAATGAGACATGGCCATGAACATCAATGACTGGCACCTTTAAATAAATAAGAAATGAACAACAGCCATGATCATTGTCATTCAAGTCACTCTTCTGGCCAGATTGTCCCCATTCGCCCCATTCATCGTCGTCGTCTTCCTCACCGGGCTCAAAGTCTTCAACGTCATGCCATGAAGCCTTCCCCTTGCCACCATCCTTCCCCTTGCCGCCTTCTGATTCTTCATGGTCCGTTCCCTTGGCTTTAGACTTGCCCTTGAAGTCATCCGTTCCCTTGGCTTTAGACTTGCCCTTGAAGTCATCCTTCCCCTTCTGGAGGTCATCCTTCCCCTTCTGGAAGTCATCCTTCCCCTTCCCCTTCTGGAAGTCATCCTTCCCCTTCTGAAAGTCATCCTTCCCCTTCCCCTTCTGGAAGTCAACCTTCCCCATCTCCTTGCCACCATCCTTCCCCTTCTGGAAGTCATCCATCGCCTTGCCTTTGCCCTTTGAGTCAAACTCAAAACCAGGCTTGCCCTTTCCCTTGTCTTCTTCATAGTCCGTTTCCTTGCCCTTTCCCTTAGGTGCAGCCTTACCCTTGAAGTCGTCCTTCCCCTTCTGGAAATCCTCCTTCCCCTGCCCCTTCATGCCCTTGAAGTCATCCTTGCTTTTGCCCTTTGAGTCAAGCTCATGCTTGCCCTTAGGTGCAGCCTTGCCCTTGGTGTCTGGGCTATCCCCCCCCTTGCCCTTGGCCTTTGGGGTATCTCCCTCCGCATTGCCAGCCTTTCCTCCGTCCTTGATGTCAGTGTCAGGCTTGGTCTGAGCCGCCGTTTCTTCGGATTCCGGAATCATACCATCTGCAGGCGATGTTGGTGACACAATTTGAGGCCTCTCTTCTGGCAGGTCAGGCTCCTCCTCCTCCTGCTCCTCGCACGGAGCCGGCTCAGCCTGGTCAGGCTTTTCTTGATCGCCCTGATTCTCCCAAGCAGAAGCCTCCCACGCCGAGGAGGGTTGCTCTTGTTGTTCTTCCGCAGCTGCTGTGGGAGAGGGAGAGTACTCGTCAGGCGGGACCTTGAACGCCACTCTTTGTGTCTTGGTCGGGGCTTCCTGCCGACAGTCATGCTCACTCTGACTCTCCAATGAAGGCAAAGGTGGTGGGCTGTGAAGCACATGGTCAGACCGGGCATGCCAGGGATGCATAACTTCAAAGACAAATGTTCCTCTCAGTTTTGGAGGGGTGGCACGCAAAGGAGCCTTGGGATACTTTTTGATGCAACGACCGAAGTCAGGCATCACCACCAAGGGCCCGCCGCCATCAGACACCAACCACCAATTCGAAAAAAACTCTTCACTAGGCGGTTGTCTGGGGTCAGTCGGCGTCGGCTCAGGGTCAGTCGGCATTGACTGCTGTTGAGGCACAGGTTCAGCTGCTGCTGCAGAAGCGCCAGGCCCGTCAGACCCGTCAGGCGGAGGCTGCCTGCGGCGCTTGGAGCCCGAGCCCCTGCGGTCATTCCTCGTCATGTAGTCAGGCACTGCTCCATAAGTCTTCTCCTTGCAACCTTAAGCAGCACGCTGACTCTGACAATTTGTCAGCTTGATTTTTATAATTAATGGTTTTATCAATCATATCACACATATTTGAAGTGAAGACAAAGCAATAATGTCAAAAGTGAACATTAAATTAAGCCGAGCAGCGCATGCGATACTCGTCACACCTTTCCCGGCAAAACTTAGCAATGACTCTGCTGGGGTTTTGCCACACCTGCTTTGTCCCCTTGCCGCCACTCCTCCCCATCACCTCTCCTTAGAGTTGAGCGACAATGCCAGTCAATGTAGCTGATTGGGCTAAAAAGCATCATCATAAGTCTGACTAAAACAATAACTAAGTTTGTGAGGGCCAACCTCATGTCAGGCCAAGAAACTGAGAATGACAGGCACTTCCGCGCGGGTGCTATCCAGGCTGAGATCATCCAAATGCATGACGGAATACATGGCCTGAGATGAACTTAAGTCCAACCGACAATCAGAGTCAGTAAATGACTAATCAAATTATTGACACATTTAAATTAAAAACAACTTAAAATAAGAAAATGTTCCAAATGCTGCAAATTGTCAGTCCATGCAAAGTAATCAACTTTCAACTGTTGCAAAGCCACATAGATGTCAGGCGCCACTGTTTTGATGGTGTTAGCCATTATGGTCATTGACACCTTAACAGTCAAGCAGTCAGTCAAGGAGTGAGCCATCAAGCAACGAAAAACTTTGAGTGACAAAAATAAAAATCTTCATTATTGAAACATGGGCCCAGGCGCGTCCGCCTCCTCCTCGTCAAACTCTGGGACCTCATCCTCGACGTCAAAGGGTGGCGCTTGAGGCGCTGGTGGTGGCGACGGGCACATGCCGTTCATGACTATCACGTTGACAAAATCATGGTTGAACTTTGGCACCCAGTCAAGCATCAGCCTCTTCCTCAGCTCAGTGTTAGTAAACCCAGCCAATGCGATGGATGACTCAACACGAATAACACCTGTTCAAAATTAAAAATGTAAGGGCTGATTCATGTCAAGCTTCACACTAGAAGACAGTTCTGGGACCTCTGCAAGGTGCTTCCCGCAGGGACCATGAATGTCAACCAGCCACACTGGCTGCTTTACTAGACCGCCAACCAGAAGCGCCACAGTTTGCGAAGCGACCTTCCCAGTCTTGCCTCAATAGACAATTGAACCAAGTCTTTGTCATTGAATTCATTAAATTATTTTTAAACAACCTCTACGTCAATTAGGCTAAGGTGAAAAAACATAAACGTTGCAGTCAGCCAGCCACATGTTGGCCAAGGAGCATGTCAGGCACAGCCACCAAGGCTTGGTGTCAGCCCGACCCATTCCTGCCGATGCAATCGCCGTCAAGCCACACAGGACTCCAGCACAAGCAGGCTTCCGGGCCAAGGGGTCAGACAGGACGTCAAGCAGGCACTCCGGTTCCGTCGGGCTACCTGCAGTCAGGGAGAGGAGCTCAAAGGCTACATAGTCAGGTGCGGTGCCAAAATGGCCTAAGAGTCATGCCACAAACACTATTTAAAAATTGTTAAACACGTTAAGTCAAGGAACCATAGGAGCCGTCCAGCTTGGGATTCTGGAGAAATCCTGCCACACTGTCGCTGTCAGGCCAGATCGCCTCCATGTCGTGTGTGAGAAGGACCGCCCTGCAGTCAGACGCTTCTTGCGCAATCCGTTGTGGCATCACCATCAATCCGCGAGAACCTCAATGGAGCGTTTCAGTGAGGCAATTAAGAAACTGCACATCTTCACCGACCTGGTCTGGCCCACCAAAAAAAGAGTTGAAAGGATGACTTGAATGTTCAACAGGCCACCGTCTCCATCCACTGTTGTGCTGTAGATGGCGTCAGTCCCATAGGAAATGATGAGTCCTTCTGGCCAGTCCTCACGAGTCCACATCACAGACTCAGCCGCATCGATGCCAGAGACCTCCTCCATGTCAGGCCACGTGTCAGGCCACGTGTCAGGCACCGCGAACTGGACAGTGTGTTTTTGGGAAGGGGAGTCTGTGAAGTAAGCAGTCGGTCGATATGTGAGTGAGTCAGTCAGTCCGATATGTGAGTGAGTCACTCAGTCCGATATCATGGAACGCATGCGATGTCCTGAGCCTGACAGACCTGAGCCAAAAGTTACAAAATCATGTCAGACATGAACACTCATGACGTCAATGACATGAACCTGTCAACCACCTCCTCCTCCCACCAAGCACGCCTGTCAATCACCACAATGGGGATGAAGTTGTTGAAGTCAATCTGGAAGGATCAACTCCCTCCAGTCTACCTGGCAAGTCAGGCGGGTGAACCCATCAAGGGACCATGGGGCTGCTACCGCATATCAATACTTCCGATTCCACTTTCATGTTACATACTAGAGCGCTCTAGTCAGACTCGAGTCACACCGGGCAATGTCGCCTGTCTCGTCGTACTTGTCAAGCTCTTCCGGCTCTTCCATGATCGGCAAGTCAGGCTATGACGAAGTATGACACTGAAGTGAATGGAAGTGATGACAGTCCAAGTCAGACAGTGACAATATAGCCCATGAGATATTATAATTAACTTCAGAATGATTTCAGAATGGGAAGAACGCTTATCATATGAACAGTGGTTTGAGTATGAACCATGAGAGTATGAAGGTGAAGGGTGGTTTGAGTCAGACAGTAAGTTTGAGCCAGTCTAGTCAGTCCAGTGGTGGTCAGTCCATAGTTTAACTATTAAACTTATTATATCATATAAGCCCAGCACTAGCCCAAAAAAGCAAAAAATAAAAAATGTCCGAAAGGCCAACCCAGGACCTATATATATATATATCCTCCATACTTATTCCCGCGGTAAGCAATGGAAGGTTACAAAAGAACGACCCAAAGCGTCTGATCAACGATGCCAGGCATCCGTGACAGCAGTCGACAACCGCGCCCATTTCAAGACGTGCGAAAGCTCTTCCATCTGTTGCAAAGCATCGGCATTCTTCCAAGCTGTTACAAGACCGATGTTCTTGTCAAAAATCAACTTCTGGAGATGCCTGACCAAGGAAGAAACGCGACAAGGATTTCCATGGAATCCCATGCGAGTCCCAGGACTCAAAAAGCATTATCGTTCCTTACAAATTCCTGACCAAATAAACATCAGCTGTTTGGAAAAACACTGTCCATTCCTGGTTGGAACCCACAAATGCATTTCAATGCATTATACAGATACAGTACACATTGACAGCTCCAGTATGGTTCAAGGAAGGCCAACCGGAAACAACCACAGGTCTTGAGGCAGCTCTCAGGAACCCTAGCAGCCCTAGCAACTTGCTCCAAATCCCGGAACAAATCCCATCCGGAAGACTTCAACTTCACCCACTCCTGTTGAAGCTGGCATAGCCGACATCCGCGCGGATCTTCGAGAGGATCGCCTCAACATCCTCCGGACGGCTCGCAGTCATCTCCTCCACCTGTGGCGCTGGAGAAGAAACGAAAATCGCTCTTGCCTCCTGCTTCAAATGAGCATAAACCTCCGACAGGCTACCTCATCTATCCTCAGTATTCGTATGTAACAAATATGAGTGACATGGCTTATACGCGGTGTATGCAACGACAGCCTCTCGAGCAGCCATTTGTTTCAGAGGCCAGTCCTTGAGGTTTTCCAAGCTTCTCTGACGCTCCAGCAGCACGGCCTGCAACGATATAGAGACCGATCTATCTCTCGTGCTTAAACTCGCAGGGCACTGACCACTCCCAGTCCGAAAACTCAAGAACTAACCTGTAGCTAAACCAGCCAAGACTGTGTCCTAAAGAAACCTGAGGAGCCCGAGGGGTGACTTCTGGGTTCAATGTGCTTGCCTGGGGCACGCTCACCAGACCAGACCTGCTCAAACCGCCGAAACAGTCCAGCGTGGTCGACCGGAAACGACTCAGCAAGTCACCACCCAGTCAGTTGACCATCCCTGTGATCTCTTTACTCCCTGGAAGATTAGCATGGAACCTGAAAACCACTGGTTTGTGAAGGACGCTAGTCTTCCGAAGGTTTTCAGGTTCCATATAAATCTTCCCGGGTGTATTTCAAATCTTTGATGCGTTTGATGTCATCTTGGAAGAAGAAGTGCAAACAGCACTTATCTCACCGCCATCCCCCACTCCACCATCAATATCCCAGAAATAAAACAAGAACCAGTCTCTACCTACACCATGATAGGAACACAAAAACAAAACCAAGAAACGGCCGGCCTTGTTCCGCAGCTTCAAGCTCTGCGCCATGCCCATCCGTTGCCCCTCCGCCAGCTCCGCGATGCACCAGGCGCGTCCAAAGAGCTCCAGCGACGCGTCCACGGCCACGACCTCTGCGAAGGATTCATCGCAGCTGGAGAGGTAGGCCATCATGTCCTCAGAGTTGCTGCTGGTTGGTGCTGGCACATGGTGTTAGAGAAATCACCCAATGTCGCATCCATGGTTGATGGTTCTTGGGTGTTGGACTATGTTTCATCTCCATGCTTTCAGCATGCCTAAAATGGTTCCTGAACATGTTCCTCCCCACCAAAGCTGGTGATTGATTGACTTCCCTTTTAAGTGAGTTCCATCTACCCCCCACCAGAAGACAACTCTACTCTCGGAGGGGTGGAGGTTCCTTTTCGCAGGGAAGCTTTGGGCGATTTGGATGAAACCTTCAAAACATGGCCACAAAGATTTTGCAGCATGCTAGACTATTATAGACAAGGGCAACACCATCTAAATTCTCAGCCGGGTGTCATCAAACTTGTTCATCTCACAAGGAATGCTCTCTCCAGCATCATTCAAAGGAGGTGTGTCGTTGAAGGCTTTGGGCAAGCTGCATGAACAAATGGGGTGTGGAAGCTGCGTGGCAGGGTCGACATCTCCACGTGGATTAGCGCCACAAATTCCACTGTGTTGGTTAATGGCAAAGGCACATATCCAGTAGGTCTCATCGATACTCCCTTGTGCTTGCAACAGTTCCTCCACTACGTGGACACCAGCGTCATCTGACAGCAGCTCTGCAATGGGCTCAAATGTGTGTTCATCCAGCGCATCGGCCACCACACTAGCCAGCAAGTCACGGAAGAGGTTGGACCAGGTATGGGTGACCATCTTTCCTCAATGTGTGGATTATCCAGCAGATTGGTGGGAAAACGAGATTCATTGCGATCAATCTGCTGTCCATACGTGGACAGGGTCTAATGCGTTACATACGAGAAGTGAACCTATGGAATGGATGTTGCTCTATCTTCTCCAAAAGAGCATAATACAGATTAATACAGTATTTTAAAAAATGCTAGAAGCAAAGCAGTGGTTCGGGGCGTTACACCTTCAGCTCCGTTCACAACTTGGGCATAGGAGCTACAAGAAGTTGAAGTCATGGGGATGATTGCCAGTCTCACCACATCATTGGTTGTATGAAGGTCAGGCTGATATGAAGGCATCACATCCTTCCCCAACATCCTGTAGAAGTCCAACAAATCCCGCAGCCGCAGACCGCGGCGAGCGAGGTCCTTGGTCTTGGTTTCCCAGTGAGGATCTTGTGGCCACTTTTTCGGCAACCGAAAGCACTTCGGTTGGCATGTGCAGGTGCAAATCGTGGGATATGGGAGTGGTTCCGAGCTCTGCCACATCAGTCGATACCCCCCAGAAAAGAGGAACACGCCAACGGTGTTGAGAAGGAGGTTGACACATTGAGCGATTACTATAGATGTGATCAGCTTTTCGTCGTGTCTACCCCCAACAAGCAGTGCTGCAAAAAGGCCAACGATGGTCCCCGTCGACAACAATGTCACAGCCACGCCAAAGCCTTGGAGTAAGGCTCGTTGGCGACTTCGGCGCAAGGCCTTGGGCCAGCTGCTTGGAGTCCCGACTTTCTGCCGTTCAACCCTCTCGGCGGCCTGGAGCCTTCGATCGACGCTGTACAAGGTGATGAACACTAGCAGCACCCATGTGAGAAAGAGAAAAGGGATTAGAATCCAGGCGGCCTCCAACACAATTGCAAACACAACGGCCTTTGACACCTCTGCTTCTAAGTCTGAGCTTTGAGCACAAACAGCACAAAAGCCAATAGATCCAACCATCAGCAAGACTGCTTCAGCCTGCAACATTCTCGGCAAGCAGCTTGCAAGCCGTGGCTGATTCAGCGCGGGCCAAATGCTCTGAAAACGATGCTGGATTAGCCCTTGTAGCAATAGTAATTCAGCAAATTGACCCAGCAGTCTCAGAGCTGTCCAAACGAAAAAGTGATATGAGTCACGCGAGAGAACAGAGCTGGCGATGCTCAACGAAAACAAACCTTCAAACCAATTGAGGACCAGGAATCGTGATGCTTTCAGGATGTGTGCTGTGGAGGCGTTCCACCACAACCACATTGCTCCCAAACCCGTTATGCCTGTAGACACAATCATAATGCAAAACAGGGCGGCGTGCGCTTTCAAGAGCTTGTCGTATACACGAGCAACACCAATATCCCGATCCCAGAGAGCAGCCGCTGTGCTCAGAAAAACGATGCTGAATGCTATAATATATCTCATCAATGTCCAACACAGACTCTGGGGAAGTAGGGCAACCCATCCTTTGGCTTGGGGACTTGAGTTCAGTTCGTCGCTCCGAGTACTTTCACTGAACTCACTGCTCATGGCGCAGCGGGCAGCGGCTATCTGGCCGAAGTCACTTGTTCTACTTGAAACAGAAACGCAACGCCTAGGCAGCACCTATGAAACTTGGCAAACCATCTTTGCTAGTCTCAATTTCCCTGTTGCAAACCATTTTTGCCAAGCACAGCACTGTGATTGCGGTGGCTTTGGGATTTTCGGGGTGATTGTTGCTTTGCTTTGCTTGACGCTCTTCCTCCAGCCCAAAAGCCGCACGCAACGGCTAAGTGCGAAAGAGCGAAAGGTGAACATCTCCGCGAGAAGATCAGGACATGCTGTCCAACATGTTCCAACCCAAGCATGGGATGTGTGCTCCTTTTGGAAAAAAATGACATGAATTTAGATGGGAAGGTTCCTCTATCATGGGGGAACCCCTTCCGCCAGTCCCTGGCCCCGGATGGGGTCCGTTTCGGTCGTTGATATGTTTTCAAGCTCAAACTTGGAGGTGAATCAAGAGCAGCTTGACTGTCCAGGACACTTACATTCACATTTTTACAATGCAAAGCCACTCTTGTGGGTGCATTTGGACCTGACACACACACATATCACACACATATAAGATACATATATACATATCATTACATATCATCATCATTACATATCATACATATCATTAATATATATATATAAATATATACATATCATTGCATATCAATGATCGGTGGTTGAACAAACAATGCAGAACAGCTTACAGTCGTGAGATGTGTGGATGTATGAGTTATTTTTAAGCAGCCAATCACAGTCCTGTTTTCCATGCAATAACATGTGATAAAATTCTTTGTGATCCCTTGTGAAGGCTTCAGCTTGCTAAGCTAATCTTTGAGCACGAGGCCAGTAATCCTGCGGCTTACAAGTTTGCTTCAAGCAGTAAGATGAGATGATGAGACGAAACGACATGTCGCTTTTGCACCAACCATACCAAACCAGCATACTGGTCTGAAGCACCTGTTTTGGGGGGACACCAGTTTGGCTTGACCAATGCTGGCCCTTGACTTGTGAACCCCCAAAAAATGCCTCACGGTCATTCTTCAACAAAGACTGTATAAGGTGCCGAACGTTCAGCAATGCCAACGGGCCCAAGGGAATAATCTATGAAACTGGGAGATGCTGCTACTCTCATCAATGTGATGGCGCCCTCACAATTCCTTCCGCAAGGCTTTGAATTGATTGTGACAGGCAGATAGCCAGCACGAGGAAAAGACACATATCAGGGTGGGGTAAATGGGTGGATATCCACTTTCAGGCCAACGATTCCCTCATCTCCACATTTTTTCGGCAATGATGCAAAGCCACTTGTTTGATGTGGACAGTCATAGGTCATATAGGTCAGGCTGTCAACTAGTGAGCCAGCCCGGTCAGTCAGTCAGTTGTTCCCCACCTGCCAGGTGAGGGTTGTTAGATTTTATCACAGTTGTTCTTCCTCCTCCTTCCTTCCTCCTTCCTCCTTGCTTCCTTCCTCGCCAATCTTCATCGCCAATCTGCTTCGCCAATCTGCTTCGCCGATCTTGTCTGGCCAGCTCCGGATCGCAGTGTGCACCCCTGGACCTCAACCGCAAGGATCCCCTCGCAGTGTGCAGCCCTGGACCTCAACCGCAAGGATCCCCTCGCATGTGCACCCCTGGACCTCAACCGCAAGGATCCGATCGCAGTGTGCATCCCTGGACCTCAACCGCAAGGATCCGATCGCAGTGTGCATCCCTGGACCTCAACCGCAAGGATCCGATCGCAGTGTGCACCGCTGGACC